TATATATACATGTATATATAAATTACAGTGTATTACATTTTTTATTTACAGTTCCACCCATGCTTTCAATACCAAATCAGTTGGAAGGAGCCTATATTGGACAAGACGTAACTCTTGAATGTCATACTGAAGCTTATCCAAATTCTATAAATTATTGGACAACAGAACGCGGTGATATGATAGTGTCTGGTAATTCTAAAAATCTGATATGCAAATATCTTTTGCAATTGTTGCATGTCTGATACAGTTTACTATATTTAAACTCCCCAGTTCTGCAGAAGAAAAGAATTTTTTTTAAATATACATTTTCGATTTATAACTGTTTCAAAAATATATCTCGGCGATATAATAGTCCTGGACAATTTAAAAAATCAGATTAGCAAATGTCTTTCACAATTATTGCATATCTTTTTGATACAGTTTACTGTATATAAATTTCTATTTCTGCAAACTAAAATATAAATTATAATATTTTTTATAAATAAATATTAAATAATTATTTGATTTGAAAAATAGATTAAAAGTTCACATCCTTATATAATATCTCAAGAATTTGTTTATTTGCAGAACATATAAGTAAAAAAATTATGAATACAAAATTATAAATAAATTGTTATTAAAAGAGTTCTTGATATACATAGATGAAGTACTCCAGATACTTGATTTTTTTTATCCTGCAACTTTACTATCCTACTTTAAAATGAAAGTCGGAGAACTTGGTTTTATTGGCACAGGCAATTCTGTTTCAGGTGATAAGTATGAAGCGATATCCACGGACAGCGGTTACAACAAATACATGATGCTAAAGATAAGAAACGTAGGTCCGAAAGATTTTGGTTCGTATAAATGTGTCGCACAAAATTCACTTGGTGGAACAGATGGCGTCATCAAACTAGATGGTAAGTCACGCAATGATAACAAAAAGGACAATTTATAGTGTAATATTTGATTTGTTATAAGTAGAAGTAAAGAAAAAAATTCAGAATGAAGATAAAAAAAAAATATATAT